TGATGCTCTCCAAAGACCACTGTCATGCCAACATTCGCTTATACTATCAATTGTATAAACAGCTCTTACTGTGTGCACTGTTGTAAAAAAAGTTTGTTTTTTTTTGGGGGGGGGTCCGGTCGTGGAGCCTGAACTCTGGGCCTGAGTGCTGTCCCTCAGCTCTTCAGCTCAAGGCTAGCGCTCTACCACTTGAGCCACAGCACCACTTCCGGGTTTTATTCTTTTTGCTTATGTGGTGCTGAGGAATCGAACCCAGGGCCTCAGGCATGCAAGGCAAGCACTCCATCACTAAGCCAACTTCCCAGCCCAAAAAATGTTTTTAATTACCTATAATCTCCTCAATAATCCTATAGGGAACTATCATTACTAATATCTCATTTTAGGGCTAGGGTTGTGGCTAAAGTAATAGGGCACTGGCCAAGCCTGCATGAGACTCTGAATTCAAATCTCAATATTGAAAAAAGCTTAAGGCCTCATTTAATAGATGAGGAACCTGAAGCACAGAAAGGGAAAATAACTGGCCCAAAGTCAATCCAGCTTCAGAGTTGATGATCTTCACCAAAGTATTTGACTACTCAGATATGCTTCTAGCCAGCATTGTCTACCAGCCACAGCCCATGGACTCCAGGTGTGCTGGGAATCCAGGGAGGGGAAGAGTATAATGTGGTCTATGGACTCCAGGTGTGCTGGGAATCCAGGGAGGGGAAGAGTATTATGTGGCCCATGGACTCCAGGTGTGCTGGGAATCCAGGGAGGGGAAGAGTATTATGTGGTCCATGGACTCCAGGTGTGCTGGGAATCCAGGGAGAGGAAGAGTATTATGTGGTCCTCTCCATCCTCAGCCCTGTCTAGAGCTTGTTTGCATAGCCACCTCCTCTCACTTGCTCCTCCAATGGGCACATTTAGAGCTGGATCAATCTTCACACCCAAGATAAGGCCAGCCTCTATTTTATTCCCCAAGCTGTGTGAACTCTTAGACAGCCCAAAGAGGCTACTACGTTCAGTCATGGTAGACAAAACTCAGGCTTGCCTCCCTGGCTACTTCACTCAATGACCAGCCCCCTCTCTGGCTGGCTTCCACTGCCACCAAGATGCCCAGTGACCCCAAGCAGACCTGCCTAAACTGCTCGTCAGAACACAGGCTGCTCAGCAGAGGCCCTGTACTGCTGGGAGTCCCTGGGACAGATGTTGACTTTGCAACTGAGGAAGCTAAAAGGCTGGAAAGTAAAACAGTGCTAGAGGTGTGGTAAGAACACTATACTGGCACTGGGAGTTTAGGTTTCCTCTTATAGAAAATGGCACAGCAGGAGAGCAAATGGATGACAACAGGTTCCTGCCAGCATTAATAGTTCCATTAATCACAGAGACACTGACCTGGGCTTGCTGCTGAGCTTCAACTGCAGTTATACAGACAGTGGCCCAGCAGGGGTGCACTGAGGTTAAAAAGGCAGATGACTCCAGCCAACTGAAATACTGACACGATTTGCCTTTCCTCTCCCTGGCTGGGTTGGGCTAGGAGAACCTCCTCACAGCCAGCGGGGGTGGAGAGGTGACAGAGGCCTCGCTCTTTTCCTCAGACCCTCCTGAGGCCAAGGATAATATTAGCCTTCATCCTCATGGTCATCCTGAGCCCCTTTCCTTTCATGATTTCATTTGATCCTCAAGATGATCCCATGGAGGATTCAAGACAAAGTGGTTGTCCAGTGGTACAACCCAGATGAGGCCACTGAAACTTGCAGAGGGGGAAAGGAGGGAGGGGGGAGGGAGGGACTCGCTAGTAAATTAAAAATGCATAACTCCGATCTTTTAAACACAAGCACTCCTGCTACTCCAGAATGCCTTCCATGGAGTCTTGTGAGAAAGCATGAACAGAGCAGATCTCCCGAGTCCTGGCTCTGTTACAGTACTGGTCACACACAGAACACTTATGGGTCAGGTTCTAGTTAAGGGTTGATTAATTGGATTACTATTCCCAAGACTTCAGCATTTTAAAAGGAACAAAGGTATGCCATATAGACTGAAGTGCAGTTCAACCGACAGACACAATTGTGAATCTTTGTGCTCCTAACAATGTAGCTTCAAAGCAAATAAAGTAAAACTGATTACAAAAAAAACAAGAAATATACAAGCAGACTAGTTTTAGTCATGCTCTCAAAAATGGATGGTTTAAGCAGACCAGCAGTTTTCTGTCTGTCTGTCTGTCTCTGTGTGACTTACTGTCTGTGTATCTCTGTCTCTCCCACTCATGCGCTCACTTGCTTACCTCTAGGGTTTAAACTCAGAGCCTTGCACTTGCTAAGCTGACATTCTACAGTTGAGCCACTCCTGTAGCCCCAGAAGTAACTTAGATCTAAGAAGCATCTTAGTAGGTATTTATATAGAACCTCGTTCAAACCACAAAAACACATTCTTTTGAACCTATGGTCTTGTCCATCAGCTGGGGAAACAAGCACTTGGACAGACTGCAGACACTCCAGGATGGACAGCTGTTCCCATCCAGCTGCCTGGGCCCTAGATCAAGAAGGGGCACCACATCAGAGAGCAGCCTTGCCTAGCCATGGGCTAGGGAGAGGCCTGGCCACAGAGAGAGGCTCTCCTGACAACCACCCCAGAGCACAGCCCTGGCTCAGTCACTGCAAAGGGCATCCCTCCTGGCTCTCATCACCAGTCATGTCAGGGAGCCTTGGAGGGCCCCAGGTAACAGCTGCCAGGTAAAGATCACCCATCTGCCTCTTCCAGAAGGCTTTCCAGCCTGGCCCCACTGCCCTTTAGAAACCCCAGGGGTTGCCAGGTCCAGACTCGCTCTGCTCTTGGGCTATATACTGATCTTACATAACTAGCAGCAGGAACAATGCCCAGCTCTGTCCAGGCCAGGCATTGGGATGCCAAGAATGGCCCAGTCAACCAGCTGCCCAAGGAGCCAGCACCTTGCACAACCACCATTGCACAGGGCCACACCTCTCCTGGAGGGCAGAAGCCTGCCAAGTTGAGGGAAGGGTCAGGGGAACTGAAGTACAGGGAGCAGCACTACTGCTTACAGCCCTCACCAGAGCCAGGGCCACCGCATCTGAGGGGTCTTTCAGAACACATACCACATTTTTGTCCCAAAGTCACACTTCCCTGAAACTGATATTTCCAGGTGCTCTTTATATGCTGACATCAAGCAGGGGACTTTCTCTCCATTCATCTTATTCACAGTGATCACAGAACAAACAGGGAGATCCAGGATGAGACTATTGAAGCACTTGCCCAAGGTCACACAGGGGCTGTGATCTGAACCTGACTTTTCTGTCTGCCGGGTCTGGCTCTCTCACAGTTACTAATACTATGCTCCCTAGCTCTGTGGAGGTGGTTCTTCCCCTTCTGAGTGGTCATCTGCAGAACCAATTACTAGAGAAGGAGAGAGGAAGAAAGGGAAGAAAAGGCCCCCAGTTTGCCCTTCTGGATCCAGCCAGGTCTTCTGGACATCCAAGACATCCCTTCCCACCCTGAGCTGTCTACTGAATCCCCTCTCTTGACTCCTTCATCCTGCCTTAGGTCAGACGAAGCAGACCCCCTTCTTTTGTAGTCATGTCTGCATTCACACTCACTCCATATCCTACACACATCAGGATGACCATACATATTGGTCGATTAAGAGTAGTTCCTACCTCTCTCCACGGCCACTGTAAAAAGAGACCCACAGGAAAGCAGGAGCCCTAAAAATACTGGAGGGAATAAAGGGAAGGACATCTTGCTTCCAGCAGAGCCAACCCTCAGCTCCCCAAGGCCTGCGGTGAGACTCCTCCCAGGGTACCCTCCCCACCAAAGGCAGGGAGGTCAGAGGCCAGGCAAGTCTCACAAGAAAGCATGAGACCTCTATTCCTACCAAGCCTCTATTCCTAGATCTTCTCATAAGAAAGCTGGAAGGCAGGGCCCAGACAGAAAGGAAAGACACCATGCATGACATTCCTGAAAATCACCTCCTCTCTGATGGCTACTTGGATGCCCTCTTCAGAGGCAATGATACTTCCTTCCTTTTCTCACTTTATTTCCTAAATAGAGTTGGAATTTATCTTATAGCAGAGTTATCAGTGCGTAGGTTCAAATCTAGGCTCCTTCAAATACATGACAAGGGCCTCACCTCTCTGAGTCCCTCTATAGCCATTAGGCCTACAGGCTCTGACTCTACAACCAGCCTACCTAGGTACAAATGTTAGCTCTGATTCTTGCTAGACCTCTCTCAGCCTCAGTATCTTTAAGTGTAAAGTGGAGCCAATAAATGGTGCTTATCTACCCTATACCATCACTGCCACAGCACACGTGATTCATTCATGTGCTTGGAACAGTCCAGGCACTAGCTATCATTAGGAACAGATGCTCAGAAAGAAGGTTGTGCTATGTCACATGATCCCTGACTCTTAAGAGCTCACTAAGCAGAGGCTGCCATTGCTTCCACCTAGATGGCAATCCCTGAGTGTTGGCCACGTCTGTTCCCCAGCAGTTCCATGGTGCTGGCACCAGATGGGTGCATCCCCTGCCTGAACCAGGGAGGTATGGGCAAGCCAGGGGCCTCCCGCCAGAGAGAAGAGGAGGAACACAAAAAACCAAGGTGTCTGGGAAGAGAAAGCAGAGCAGAAGGGGGAAAGGTCCAGGCAGAGAGATAAGCGAGTGAAGTGAGTGAGAAAAGGAACAGGAGAGGCCGTGGTGCAGAAAGATAAGGAAAGGATGGAGAAAGCCAGGGGTGAGGAAAATGCCAAGGGAGGTGAGGGACACCAGGGGACAGGCACAAGCCCTGGCCAGGGCTGGGGCGAAGGAGCTAGCGACCCGAAGGGGCGCACAGCCTACAGCGGGCGGGAGCGCAGGAGGGGCTCCACCCTGCCTCGCCCCGGGGGCGGGACCAGGCCGCTGCAGATTGGCTGGGGAGATGGGCGGCTGGGGCTAGAGCCCCAAGGTGGGAGGCGCCAGGCAAGCAGAGGCTGCCACCCATTAGGACGACCTCGGAGGCGCTGTCGGGAGAGACCGGAGGGGGCTGCACGCCGAGACACCTGGGGTGCTGCGCACGGAATTTGGGGGGCTGCGGGGCGCGCGCCGGGGTAGATGGTAGCCATGAGGGCGGCCGCGCTGGCACTGCTGCTGGGGGCGCTGCACGGGGCACCGGTGCGCAGCCAGGAGTACGACTACTACGGCTGGCAGGCCGAGCCTCTGCACGGCCGCTCCTACTCCAAGCCGCCACAGTGCCTTGACATCCCCGCCGACCTGCCGCTCTGCCACACGGTGGGCTACAAGCGCATGCGGCTGCCCAACCTGCTGGAGCACGAGAGCCTGGCCGAGGTGAAGCAGCAGGCGAGCAGCTGGCTGCCCCTGCTGGCCAAGCGCTGCCACTCGGACACGCAGGTCTTCCTGTGCTCGCTCTTCGCGCCCGTCTGCCTGGACCGGCCCATCTACCCTTGCCGCTCGCTGTGCGAGGCTGTGCGCGCGGGATGCGCGCCGCTCATGGAGGCCTACGGCTTCCCCTGGCCCGAGATGCTGCACTGCCACAAGTTCCCCCTGGACAACGACCTCTGCATCGCTGTGCAGTTCGGGCACCTGCCCGCCACCGCGCCTCCAGGTAGCACCACTGCCACCGCCCGACCACCCTGGATGCTCTAATCTAGCTGCCCAACTCCCTCCCCCCACCACCAAGGCTACCTCTTCCAACTCTGTCGGCCCCCCCACCAGGTGCCAGCCCCACACACACACACCATTGTCTCCTGCCACCTTCCCGCCTGCCCTTTCACATCCCATTGGTTCTCTTCTCCATTCTCACCTCCACCCAGCAGGGCCCTGGGGCTAGATGAGCACCCCCTTCCAGCAAATTCCAGCAATTTCCCATGCCCTGTAGCATCCTGGTAAATGTCTGGCTGACTTGTTTAACTTCTCTATTAGTTTTTTTTTTTGGGGGGGGAGGGGTCCGGTCATAAGGCCTGAACTCTGGGCCTGGGTGCTGTCCCTCAGCTCTTCAGCTCAAGGCTAGCACTCTACCACTTGAGCCACAGCGCCACTTCCAGCTTTTTTCCTTTTTGCTTATGTGGTGCTGAGGAATCGAACCCAGGGCCTCATGCAGGCAAGGCAAGTGCTCTACCACTGAGCCACCTTCCCAGCCCCTCCATTAGTTTAAAAAAAAATCCCAGGTAGAGGAGTCTTTTTTTTTTTTTTTGTCGGTAGTGGGGCTCGAACTCTGGGCCTGGGCGCTGTCCCTCAGCTCTTCAGCTCAAGGCGAGCACTCTACCACTTGAGCTACAGTGCTACTTCCGGTTTTCTGGTGGTTTATTGGAGATAGGAGTCTCACGGTCTCTCCTGACCGGGCTGGCTTTGAACCTCGATCTTCAGATCTCAGCCTCCTGAGTAGCTAGGATTACAGGCGTGAGCCACCAGCGCCTGGCATGGTAGAGGAGTCTTAAACCCTTACTTCCCACTGTACCCCCAGTGTCATGACCCCCCCAATTTCTGCTGGTCTCAACTTCCCTTTCACTGTGCTGATGTGCACAGCTCTCCCAGGGTTCTCCCCAGCAGGATAGCACTCTCTCCCCCTCCCTCCATGGCCTGCCTGACTGACCCCATGAAGGCAGGGACTAACGGAAGTCAGCTGAGGTCAGGCCCTGGATAGAAGGCAGCCTGGAGAAATATTTGTGTGGCCATAAATACAACTTGGAATATTTCATATGCAATTGAAAAGTTTGCTATTCCCTTGAGGGGGGAGGGGGGAGGTCTGGCAGTGCTAAGCATCCGCCTTGGAGTTCACCACAGTCCCCAAGCCTCCTGGGTCCTATGAATGTCCTCACTCTAGCACTAGACTAGGAGTCATAAATCCTAAGGCAGGTTCTCATACATTGTGTAAACTTGGGTAACCACTCTGGTCCCAGTAATAGTATCATCCACTTCATAAGCTGAGGATTGATGGGGATCAACTTTAGGAGACATTTGCAGCTGCCTGGATCATGGGGCAATAACTGCCCACCTCAGCAGTATTGTCCCTGCACAACCTCATCCCTTGTGACTGACACTCAGTGAGCTGGCAGCAGTATCACTCCTGAAGAGAAAGTAGAGGTGGGGAATGGTCAGGGGGGGAACCTGCACAACTAAGTGGCTCTTTGGAACCCAAATCCTTCACCCCCTCTTCCACCCCACCCTGCCTTCTTTCTTCAGTGACCAAGATCTGCGCCCAGTGTGAGATGGAGCACAGCGCGGATGGCCTCATGGAGCAGATGTGTTCCAGTGACTTCGGTGAGTGTGGGGCCCACAGAGTCGCTGCCCTCCACAGCCTCTTGGACACGCACCCACATGTCCTCACAGGAGAGCTGACAGCCTTTACATCCTGTTAGAACCTGGTGAGAGCTATCACACACACACACACAGTAGTGTGCTCACAGCAGAACTGCTGTGGCAGCTCTTCCCAACTCCATGTCAAGTGAGAGGATCAGTCACAGTAGATATCAGCAAATGTTACAGAATAGGCTCCTCCTCTCCAGAACTGGATATTAGACATTTCCAGTCCACCACTGCTCTATCCACTCACCTCTCTCTCTCTCTCTCTCTCTCTCTCTCTCTCCCCCCTGGTTGGTTATACACAACTAGGAAACCATCCCCAGAGATGTTCAGCTTTCCTCCAATGCAAGGCTCCTCTCCAAGTGATTGCCCCTAATCCAATATTCCTATACCCATTCCAGTCCCATCTAGATGTCATTTGGTGTCACAAAAAGGCTTTGGCTTTAGAGTAGGCCAGATTTGTGTCAAGCTAGGCTCCATAATTGGGGCAAGACATACCCTCTCCACCACATCTTATTTACATGCACACATGTACTTTTTTTTCCTTTGGCAGTACTAAGGTTTGAATTCAGGGCCTTGCATATACAAAGTAGGTGCTCTACTATTTAAGTCATGCCCTGAGCCCTTTTTGCTTTAGGTATTTTTCAAATAGTCATGTTTTTGCCCAAAACCTCAATCCTCCTAATCTCACAATCTTCCTATGTACACTTCCCATATAGCTGGGAGAGCAGGTACACATCACCATGCCCAGCCTTTTGTTCATCAAAATGGGGTCTTGCTGTAGCTCACACTTGTAATCTCAGCTACTTGTGAGGCTGAGATCTGAGGATCAAGGTTCAAAGCCAGCCCAGGCAAGAAAGTCCCTAAGACTCATCACCAATTAACCACCAGAAAGCCATAAGGAGCTATGACTCAAGTGGTAGAGCAGTGACCTTGAGCAAAAAAAGTTCAATAATAGTCCTTAGGCCCTGAATTCAAGCTCAGTACAGGTACACACAAAAAAATAATAATAAAAATTGGAAAAATTTTTAAATGGATTCTTGCTTTTTGCCTAGATTGGTCTAGAACCATGATCTGCCCAATCTCTACATGCTAGTAGCTAGGATTATAGGGACAAGCCATTTTACCCAGCCTCCCTCCAGTACTTTGAAGATGAAATTCCATAATGTCCAGCTTCTGATAAGAACTTCAAAAGTATTCAAATCTAGCATGTAAGCCCCACTCCTCCAATCCTACAACTCATCAGGTTCCTTGAGCCTGAATGCCCAGAATCTATCATCATCAGCCTAAGGATATCACCATCCTCAGCAGCCCTGACCTGTCTCAGCCCATCCCCCTGTCCTCCTTCCTACAGTGGTCAAGATGCGCATCAAGGAGATCAAAAGAGAGAATGGCGACCGGAAATTAATTGGAGCCCAGAAGAAGAAAAAGCTGCTGAAGCCAGGCCCCCTGAAGCGTAAGGACACTAAGAGGCTGGTCCTGCACATGAAAAACGGAGCAAGCTGTCCCTGCCCGCAGCTGGACAGCTTGACCGGTAGCTTCCTAGTCATGGGCCGCAAAGTCGATGGACAGCTGCTGCTCATGGCTGTCTATCGCTGGGATAAGAAGAATAAGGAGATGAAGTTTGCTGTCAAATTCATGTTCTCCTACCCCTGCTCCCTCTATTACCCCTTTTTCTATGGGGCTGCAGAATCCCACTGAAGGGCCCTTCTCTAGCCTCTCCAGCTGTGCCTTGCCCTCTGTCCCTGCCCACCTAGCCCTGCCCCCACTCCCAGGCTCACCCAGCCCCCCCCCACCCCCTGGTGGCAGGTGGCTTCAAGCTGTTGCTACATTGCACAGACTCCAAGGGATGCACACAAGCTTAGAGTTGGCCTCCTTGTCCAAGGAGCCCTGGATCCCTGGGGACCTAGGCATCCTCTCTCAGAAGGGCTTCTCTTCTGAGGAAAACCCCAGGGTCTTAGAAAGTGGGCAGAGGGAGGCAAGAGTGAAGGAAGAGTTTAGAGGCTCAGCAGTCTGAGGGGTGTGTAGAGTGGACAGTGGTGTCAGCTCCCCTCAGCTGGTGGTGGGGCCTTGCCTTGTAGGGAAATGTCTCCTTGGAGAGGGTCTGTGTTAGGCTGAGTTGTGTGGGGACCGTTTTCCTTTCTGGATCCTCATTACAGCCTTCCAAGGAATAGGAGATGGGGTTCCAATGCCTTCCAGCCACGCCGCTGTTTCCTCTCTATCTCAGACCTCACGCCCCCTGGATTGGAAAGGAGGCCCAGCCCAGTCTCCACAGACTCCCTTCCCAGGGCTCATTCCTCAGCCTTGGCTCTCCCTCTGACCTTGACCATAACTTATTGCTCCTGTTGTGAGGCCATTGGTTCTAGACAACAGATACAGGCAGGATTTTGTTGCTATTTTTTTTAAGTTTTTAATTAAATCAAAGAAAACTACAGTTGGTTTGGATGAGTTGATTAACTGCTAGTTCTGAAGAGGATGGCAGCTAGAGAGGTTTAGAGTTTCAGGGGAGACCCTGGCTCTACCCCACAACCTGTCCGCACAGACTTCAGCAGAAAAGCCGTGCCTGTGTGGCTCCCCAAGAGCACATGACAAAGGTCACCCTTGCACCCCAACCAGTGAGGGATGACTGACCTCAAGGAACATTGCAGGACAGCCTGAAGCTCAGGGCATGTCACTCTCCTGCACACTGGTTTTGATCTGTTGGTAACAGATGCTATACAGTAGGACTACTTGAAGCTCCCTTGGCCAACTATAGCCACATCACTTGGGAGTTGGTTAGGAATGCAAAATGCCAGAACCTGTCATATAGGACTGTATTGCAACACAGAAAAATACTATCATCTACCAAGCTTTCACAAAACACAGCACCCACACCAATGCATCCACAGCACTGAAATAGGTCTTAGGTGCCACCTAGGTAATGTGCTGCTGGGTTAAGAAGTCTCATCTAGACCAGGTAACACTTGATGTGGGGAGAGGGCAAGAGGCTGGGGCCTTGAGCAGCTACTGAGATGGATGGCAGAGAGAGGAGAAGCAGCTGCCACATAGGTGGCCAGCATTTGAAGGTGTAGTGCCAGGAAAGAGCTCCCTGTGGGGCTTTGGTAGAGTCTGCCCTGGATGTCAAGAGATGCAGGACAGATGCAGGGGCCAGGGCACCCCCTAAGGGCCTTTCCTGGCTAGTGGGGTGGAGCTGGGGTGCCAACTCCAGCCAAGGCCTATTGCTACTCCAAAACAAAGTAGCTAACCTGACACTGCTCTTCACCTTGGAGAAAATGGGGAGAAGAAAAGGGGAGAGAGCTGGGAATGTGGCCTAGTGATAGAGTGCTTGCCTAGCATGCATGAAGTCTCAGATTCGATTTGTTGGTACCACATACACAGAAAATGCTGGAAGTGGCGCTGTGGTGCAAATGGTAGAGTGCTAGCCTTGAGCTGAAGAGCTCAGCGGCAGTGCCCAGGCCCAGAGTTCAGGCCCCATGACCTAAGAGAAAGAAAGAAAGAAAGAAAGAAAGAAAGAAAGAAAGAAAGAAAGAAAGAAAGAAAGAAAGAAAGAAAGAAAGGAAGGAAGGAAAGGGAAGAAAAGGGGAGAAAGCGGGGGTGAGGGGGAGATGGGAAGGGATGGAAAGGGGAAACAAAGGAGGAGGCAACAATGCTTGATAAGAAATGTACTTATTACGTTGCCCATGTAACTGTAACCCCTCTGTACAGTATTTTCACAATAAAAAGAAAGAAAAGGGGAGAAAGAAAAGGGGGAAATGGTATCTCTAGAAAGGCTGGAAACTGGGCAGTCTCTAAGTCTCCCTAACAGGTGGACTGAACCTGCCCATAAACCACCCTGGGAGGCAGCAAGACCTATTTGTCTCTCCTTCCCCTAACAAAGCCGCTACCACCCATGCTGCCCAAACTCTGCCCAGATTGCCTTGCTCCTTGAATCTGCCCCTTGTCTCTCAGCCTCCTGCCCTGACCAAATATTTATGAACACTTCTATGGTCAACCAGGACCAGGGATTATTTTTCCATCAAGCATGCAGGCCTTGGCCACTTTTGGCTAAAGTACAATGCTGACCTCTGTCAGGTGCTGGCAGGAGAAAGGCAGGGGAGGGAAAGTCTCCCTCAACTACCCTGTGAATTCATCAGGCAGCACCCACGTGAGGCCAGGGCCCTGCTCTACATCTGCTGCTCCTCAGTTCTGCTGCCAGGCCCCCAAGAATCTCCTCTCTGGGACAAAGAGGTAGCTCCTCCCAGAGGCCCTGCCAGACTGGAACTCCACCCTTCCCTTACTTCAGTAACCTGCATGTGGTGCTGCCATGATGTCCTCCCTACCAGCCACACAGAACCACAGTCACCAAGAGTACCTAGATGCTGGGTACCACTGAGGGATAGTCTGTGACCACACAGATCAGACTCCCAGGAGAGAGAGGCCTCACCACACACAAGTCTAGAAGTGGACAGGTGAGAAGTTGACGTACCACAATCCTGTCTTCCTGTTCTGGGGAGGTAGTCTTGTGGTTACCGCTTCTTCCTCATTTCTCAGCCACATTGCAAGCCATGAGACAGGGAAGGGAAAGGAGCAAAACCCTCATGTCAGCTGCTTCAAGCTTTGGATCAGGGAAACAGGCTGTTCCCAAGCTGCCCACCTGGTAGATTTCCACTTCCAGCTCACTGGCTAGAACTGAGTAATATGGCCACTCCTATTGCAAGGAGAAGTCAAGTTTTTCAGCAGGGCAGAAACCAGAGTTCTAAAACAAGAATTTGAGGTAGATGACTGAAAATCCCAGGGTTGGGGTGAGAGGAGGTGTAACCTGGCTCTGGTCTCTAATCCTGCAACTTAGTAGCTGTGTGACACTGAGACCACTGCCAGTTGTAAAATAGAGTGAAATGCTTACTTCCATTGTGGCCAAATGTGAAATGTCAATGCAATGGCCAGTACCTAGAAATAATGCACAGCATGTAGATGTCCACTAGTATACATTTGTATTCTTATTAGCCAAAAATTGTGACTTAACAGTACCTACAGACTAGGTATTCCATAGAATTGCTGAGTCCTTAATCAACTAAGAAACATGACTGACTGGCAGGAAAGCAGGAGAAAGGCAGGAACCTTTTATCTATGAGTTAGAATCATAGAATCCATCCCAAGATGGTAGATAACTAACATTGGAATCAGTGTAGGATTATACCTGTAATCCTAGGTACTCAGAAAGGGCGTGCAGGAGGATTTCTAGTTTGAGGCTAGCTAGAGAAAAAGTATGCAAGACCCTAGCTCAAAAACAAAATGGCTGGACTGAAAATGTGGCTTAGTGGTAAAGTAAGTGCTTGCCTAGCATGCATGAAGCCCTGGGTTCCATTCCTCTACTACATAAACAGAAAAAAACTACAAGTAGCACTGTGCCTCAAGTGGTAGAGGGATAGTACCCAGGCCTTGAGTTCAAGCCCCAGGACTGGGGCAAAAAGAAAAGGGCTGGGGCACAGCCCAAATGGTAGAGTGCTTGCCTAACAATTGCTATGCCTTCAGTTCAAGTCCCAGTACCCACACATGCACAAACAGAGAGAGAGAGGAGACAGACAGACAGACAGACAGACAGACAATAAAAAAACTGATACTAAGAAGCTAGGTGCCATGGCTCACGCCTCGCTATTCAGAAGGCTGAGATCTGAGGGTCGTGGTTCAAAGCCAGCCCAGGCAGGAAAGTCTGTGAGGAGCTGAGGGACAGCAGCAGCCAAGCTCAGAGTTCAAGCCCCACGACTGACCAAAAAAAAAAAAAAAAAGCTGATACAAAGAAAATAATGCCAGGTACCTGTGGCTCACACCTATAATCTTAGCTACTCTGGAGGCTGAGATCTGAGGATCAAGGTTCCAAGCCAGCCCAGGCAGGAAAATCCTCCAATTAACCACCAAAAAGCCAGAAGTGGGGCTGTGGTTCAAGTGGTAGAGCACTATCCTTGAGCAAATAAAGCTCAGAGGCAGCACCCTAACTATGAGTTCAAGCCCAGGACTGGCAAAAAAAAAAAAGAGAGAGAGAGAGAGAGAGATACTTGATACTAGTAATTGATAGACTATCAAGGCTATGAAGGGTAGTTCACACTGTTCAAAACATTTTCACATTCCAATTTAAAACTCCTGACAGCCCTTTGATAGTGGTTGATGAAGGTAACACAATGTGGTTAAGGTACTGTTAGGGGTAATAGTGAATCTGGTGATGCTAGAATTTGACCTCAAGCTCTGTAACCACTATACTACTGTCAAAAGAGGTTAAAAAAAAATAGGACAGGAAGTTCAGGTACCCATGCTCTGAGGAAGATTCCTGAGGGCTCTGTCCAATCACACTGCAAGAGCCCTGATATGCAGAAGAGCCATTGGCTCTCCAGATTCCCAAAGATGGCTGGCCCCACACACTGCTCTCCTCTCACCCCTGCCAGCATCCAGGCTCAGCCCTCCACAAAGGAAGCTCACATCCCACTACTGTTTAGTAGGCTGAAATCCTGGCTGCAGTTCACTCTTTGGGAAGGCCGATGTGGGGGGTGGCTGCTGCTGGAATGTGTGTGGCTGGGACACTGGGTCCCAGCCCAGACAGCAGGCTCTACTGGGGCTGTAAAGAAGGAAGGCAGCCAAGGGAACCCGGAATCCCTAACCCCCAACTGAGCCAAGAGAATGGAATGTGCTGCTCTGGGTGCTGCAGGCCAGAGGTGGGGTGGCTGGGCACTGGGGAAGGTGGGGGCGCCCACAAGGCGCTCTCTGTTTCGCTAGGGCTGGAGAGTAGAAGGGTAGGGCCCTCCTGTTAGCTCAGTGGCTAGCTCCTAAGCAAGTGTGCACCAGGCAGAGTGCCTTTCTGGCCTCTAGGTACACATGGGCAACAATTCACATCCCACCCCATGCCTCCCCAATTCTGCAGCCTGGGGCAGGTCACTTAACCTCCCCATGCCTCTGTTTACTCTCTGTCAGAAGCAGGTAATACTGAATCTGTGGAGACAGTGGGGCACACTCAGTCAAGGGCTTGTGCTTGTGCCTCCCTTATCCCAAGGCTGCCAACTGTGGGACAGATGTGGGCCTGACTCCTGAGACAGGGCCTCCAAGGTACCAGATACAAAGCAATGAAGATAGAGCTTCATCTGTCTTCTGCTCCAAGGGCCACACATCCTGAAGACCCCAAAAAGCACTGCCTGTTAAGATCTGCAGAGCTCTTAGAAGGTGCTCAACATAAGCACACCATAAAACATCAATAGAACCAAAGCCAATAGGCTAGGGCTGGGGACCCAGGCCTGACTAGCACATGCAAAGGAGGTAGCAGAACCCAGCTGCCCAACTGCCCCGTACACCCTACCCACCCCCGTACCTGAAAATGGATAGCTGTCTTTTAAACCAGGCATTCAATTCCAGAGGCCAGTCTGTCTCCAAGGCCATCCCCAGCCAGCTCCTCTGGATGCTGTGGACTCCAGCTGCTGTAAGTACCTCATCCTGTCCCATCCCTCTGTGACTTTGTCTTCCCAGGAGACTGTAGTTTAATAAAGATGTCTCTTGCCTGCTCTCAAGGAGACAAGAAGGTGGCCTTGGCTTCACCATTCAAGGACACTGACCCAGGGTGGGGGGACACCGGCATTTCTTCCATCAGTGAGCCATGTTCCATGACCATCCTTCCTGGCCTCCATCTGTTAATAGTTCACCAGCAATAGACACTGTTTACACTCCCTGACACTCTCTCTGAAAATAATCTAAAATCATTCTCTGGCTTAAAAAAAAAAATCAGTGTCATAAGCCTTACAGGCTGTGAGGATCCAGTCTGTCCTGTGAGCACTTACCACATGCCAGGCGCATGCTCCATGCAGCACAGCACAGCAGCCTCGAGAGGCCGATGTTGCTCTTAAACCCATTTTATAGATGGGGGAGAAGAAGAAAGACCAGGGCAACTGGTTCCAGCCCGGGTCCGGTAGAGTAACCGGCAACACTGAGCACAGTGCCTTTCATCCAGCAAACTCTGAGCCCACCCCAGCTGTCAGAACTGCTTGGACCTCTAACCTCACAGCCCGTCTCTTTTCTGCCAGCTCTCAGCCTCCAAGCACTGACCCTTCTTAGCTTTCTCACAGGGATTAGCTGGGCTCTTTCCATTCTAATGCATGCATTATTTCTCATTTACAAAGTTCTGATCCCCACCCCAACCCTAGCCCAGGGTCCTCAATCTTATCCTAAGATGGAGAGCCCAAGTCACCACATCCCAATTGTTCTGTGCCCCTCCTGTGTTTTGAGGCAGCAGTTCTCATACCCCAGCCACTCAGGGTTCGTAGAGGCCCACCCAGCAGGGGTGCAGGCTCAGCAAGGCCAGCAAGCTCAGGCAGTAAAGGGTGGTCTGATCCTCCAGGCCAGGGAGCACATGAGACAAGAACAGGACAAAGCAGAAGAAGCTTGAGGCCTTTTATTGACAATTCTCCACATACACAGATCCTTTCCACTGTTCTCCAATGTAAACAAGCACAGAGCACTTAACTCTCATCTCCCACCAGGACAAAGGGGATACTAAGCCTGCCTGGCTCCCCACAGAATGGCACCTGGTTGCCAGGCCTGCACTTCACCTCACGTGTGGCTTGGCAGGAAGCTGGACTGAGAGGGACCCTGTCTGCCAACCTTCCCTCCCTCTCCCTGCCACTGTGGATGTGGGCCCCAGGCAGCCCATGATGCCTGGGGTTCCAGGCAGGAGGAGCCCCTCTTCCTCCCCACCCCGCGCCTTGTGCTGCATGTTCCCAGGAACCATAAAATAAATAAATAAATACATTGAAAAGGCAGGGCAGCTGGGGGCAGGGGAGAGAGGGCAGAGCCAGCTAAAGGGCTTAGGCTGAGATAATGGACCCCACAGAACAACGGGAACAGAAAACTGGCCAAGAGGCCCTATCCCATAACTGAGCCTGCCCTCCAGCAAATGGCCTAGGCATCTAAGGCCCAGCTCAGCAAGATCCCACACTTTCCAGGACCTCAAAAGTCAAGGGTTTCAGGACCTCCGCTTGGCTCACCAGGCCTCACATTCCATGGGACAAGGGCTGGGAAAGGGATATGTGGTGCTAGGCCAGGGAAGGGGTGCCCCAGCCTCAGGGCAGGAGGAACAGGAGTGAGCCAAACACCCTACAGCCACTCCAGCCGGGCTGAGGACATCTCAGCATTAAGTAAGCTGAGATTTATAAGCTAAGGTCTCTGCCTGATGGGGCTTTGTGATACTGTTCTCACCTTACACTGAACACTGCTCCTCTGGGGAATCTGGAAACTTCAGCCCTGCTAGAATGCTACTGGTCTTGTTAGGCCTGTCCACACTAATGGGAAACTAGTCAGATGCTGGTACCTGGAGGAAGAACATTCAAACCACAGAGCTGGGGTGTAGTGCTGCAAGCACTTGTACAGGCTCCCTGAGGTGGAGGGACCAGCCCAATACCCCCAGGAAAGAACTTTCCCCAATTTCAGGTCTCATGGAATCCCCAAGCCTGGTCAGACTAGCCCTGACCATAGAAGCCTAGTTGAGAGCAGTCCTAGCTCTCTGCTGCCCTCTAGTGGACACTCCCTGGCTGTCCCTGAACCCATGCGGCCCTGGACAGGGCAGGGCAAACAGCCAGGGCTCCCTGGGATTTGAGCACAGCATTGCTCCAGCAAAGCTGGAGACAGCAAGAGACAGACAGGGAATCCTACCTAGCACTCAGGCCACACTCGCCCAGCACACGCCACAGGGGCTAGGGGTGGAGAGAGTGGGGATCTACTGGGGCCCCAGGACTGCTGCCTCTTGGAGCCTGGCCTCTTGTGTCACTTGCTCAAGGTCTGGTTGCATGAGGCACACACAAACACAGTCTCTCTCTGGGCTTCAGGGGCTGGAAAGGAAGAAGAACTTGGTGAGACACTTCTTTGTCCCCTTTCAAGTACTAGAACCTCCCCCGCAGAGCCCCAGACGGACCACCCACCGCCCAGCCCAAACCCTCCCTGACCCAGCTTGCTGCTGGCCTCAGACACACCTCCTCCCTGGGGAACTGGGAACTCCAGTGATGCCAACACTAGGCGTCTCCAGGTGTTCTGAGCATTAAAAAAAATCTTTTGGCACCAACTAAACACTTAAAAATGTCTTCACAATAAAATACCAGAGAAAATTTTCCTAAAACGTTTTAACAGAGGTTATCTCTGGGTGGTAAGATTACAGGATTATTTTTCCCTTCCTTCTTCTGTATACTTTCTAAATTTTGTAGTTAATGAGTAAGGGGAGGAAAAGTTAGTCTAACACTAACATACCACAAGGTAGTAAGTAAAACATCACATTTTTCAAAAATGGTAGTTCAGCACCTGTTATCCTAGCTATTTGGAGAATAAGATTAGGAGGATTGAGGTTACAGATAGGGCAGAAAAGCCCATGAGATACAGGGGGCCATGATAGGTTATACAGATCTCTAGGCATTCACATACAGTGAGAAAAAAGGAGGATGCTTCATTTACAACACATTTGTACAGTTTTCATAAAAGAAAATGGCTTTTATTCAGTTCGAAATGTTACCATGGTGGCTGTCTCTGCGAAGGCAGAGGGAGCCTGAGAGGGGTGCTACTGTTATGTGTTGTTTCGTATGGAAACTGTCACCGGTGTTCATTCTGCTACCTTGTGTCACAATTCCCAGGTTCATTATATGTACTCTTCGCATGAATCAAATGTTTCCAGGTTTTGATTAAGTGGGATGGACGAGATGTTCCCACAGATGTTGGACAAGAATGTCTTCACTCCTTTCCGACAATGTGGCCTCCCCTTCAGGGGCAGAAAGCTGGTATCAGCTCCCTACCCTGACCCACCCCTGCACCACTCACCTGTGGCCCCCATGGAGGACTTGGGCACCTTGAAGGAGCAGCATCGAGAGCAAAAGCTGTTCCCGCAGTTACTGCAGCTCCGCTGCAGACAAGAACCAAAGTCAGTGCCAGATGGAGCTGCCATTCTCAGGCACCTGGAACTTCAAGTACTTCCCTTCACCAACCAATCCTCCCCAAGGAGACAGATTGGGGAAGTGCCCCAGTGAGGCACAAGGGAGATTGGACTGACTGAACGCCCCACAGGAAGGCTGGTGAAAGCAAACGTCAGACACCAGGCCTCTGTGACCCAAGCAGTCAGACTTCTTCAATGATCCCCTCAACTCCCACAGAACCCATCACAAGCACACAGCTCCCCGAAAACCACCTGAAACTTACCCTCTTCTTCAACACTGAGAAGGTAGCAGAGCAGCCTGTACAGTTCCCTGAGAAACAGAGACAACAGCTCAGTTTTGAGCCAGCCCCAAGCACTCACCTCTCTGCTCTTGATTCTCATAAATGGGCACTCAGGACACCAGCCCACCCCAGCCCACTCCCTGGCTGCGAACATGGGAGCATGATGGCCCCTGCGAACCACTGTCTCTAGGCCAGTACAGCTCTGATCTTTGCACCCTCCCAGAGGCAAGCAGCCCCACTCACAGGCACAGAGAAATTAAAGAACAGCTTGAGAATCTGCTCAGGAATCCAGCCAAGCTGGCAAGGATCTAACCTCCAAATTCCCGGCGAAGCCTGCCTGACATGACCCCTTTGAGTTCTCCTTACATACACTGCCTGTACAGAGGGACAGAAATGCTTCCTGAAAACACACATACTCTCTACCACTAGAAGATTCAAAATGAGAAGCTTAGAATGGGGCACTTTCCAAAGAGGCAAAGAGAAGACTGCTCACACACTGTGAGTAGCACCATCAATGACAAGATGACAAAGCTTTGGGCAGTAGGCCATGGCAGCTTAGGAAATGGCTTAGGGAGGCGAGAGAGGTATAAGGAAGAGATGAAGGATGGGGAAGAAGGTTTCTGGGCCATGGGGTCCAAGACCTGCTGTGATCTGCTCAGATCACAGGTTGGCCAGGAATAGAAACAGGCCTCTCTTTTTCACACAATGACCCCAATCTGTATTAACATCTCCATGCAGTGCCTTCGTCTGTCTGGAAGGAAGAAGGAACTGGAGCTCTTGCTAAAGGAGTTTTCCTGGGATCAAGGAAAGGAAGACTACCTAGAGCCAGAAGGTACTAGAGGTACTAGAGTATTGAGGCTAGGTTGATCAGCTCGTGGTTCAGGTAGAGGAAATAGAGAAGAGCTAAGCCCATGCATGCTGGTGGTACAGGAAACTGTCTGCTCCACTGAGAACTGAGGAAGGCAGCCTGTCTCTGCCTCCCAGAGCAAGAGGACAGGGCAACAGGTCAAGGAAAGAAGCAAGACTGATACTAGGGCTTACATCCAAGAGTTCCTCCAAACTGGATGGAAAGCCAGGACCAAGCACCCAACAGCAGCCAGTACCACACACAGGCCTGGGCCCCAGGAGGGCTCTAGGGGCTGACACCAGTTCAGACAGGCAATTGGGGAGAGCAGCCCTGCTCCTAACTCCTACGTGCTCTTTCTGCCAGGATTCTCAGCAAAGGCCTAGACTCTCCCATCCCAACTCCCCTTGTGATGAGGCCACAAAGACAGCAAAAGAAACTACGGGCCCCATAAGGCCTGCCTGGACAACCATCATTTGGCCCCCAAGACAAAGTAGGGCCCTCCCCACTAGGAGTCTAGAAAGAAGCTGTAGAATGCAATAGCCTTGTTCCACCAAGGTTTATGATTTAAAAATCTTAACCACAGCCAGATGCCAATGGCTCACGTCTGTAATCCTAACTACTCAGGAGACTGAGACGTGAGGATCATGGTTCAAAGCCAGCCCAGGCAGGAAAGCCTGTGAGACTCTTATCTCCAATTAACCACCAGAAAACCAGAAGTGGAGCTGTGGCTCAAAGTGCTAGAATATTAGCCTTGAGCGAAAGAGCTCAGGGACAGCTCCCAGGCTGTGAGTTCAAGCCCCACGACTGACAAAAAAAAAAAAATCCTAACCCCCAAATGATGGGGAGCTCACAGAGCCTGAGGACATTCAGCAGGGTGCAGGCAATCTAGAATGAAAAGGGAAGATGCAAGGACCAGAGCCACACATGGCCTGGACACAGTGGCTCCCACAGGCCATCAGGCCAACTTCCTGAGAGCTAGTGTTCAAGAAGAGGAAAGGACAAGAAACCCACACAAGCGTCTTCAGCAGTTCCACTAGACACATGCTAACATTCCAAGATCCCATGGACACTTGCTCTAGTCACAATTAGAATTCATAATTCCAACACTCTGACCCTCTGTATAGCCAACATCCCCTCCGCCCCAGCCTCCACATTCCTTCCTGGCCACCCTAACCCACTCCATACCGAAGTTGTTGGTAGGGTAACGCTTGCGGAGCCGCTCTGTGAGCCGGGACACCTTGCTGCGCAGTACCTCGTTCTTACTCAGGAACCCATTGTCTTGCAGGGACAGCTCATCCTCTGCTGGGCAGGGGGCACCCTCATCATCCTCCTGTGGGAACAGCTCCTTCCAGTCCCTCCCACCTCTTGACAAGGCCCAGGGGCCTTCAGGCAGAGGCACCTGGACACGGCCAACCCCATCAGCACAGCCAGATCTGCCACCCCCCTCCAGCCCAGCCCAGCCCTACTTACCAGTGCTCCTACTTACCAGAACCACCAAGTGGGTCTCCTGCCTCCCAAGGTGCAGGGGAGAGGAGAGAAAACAGAGACAGAGATAGCAGGGCAAGGAGGACCAAAAGGGGGGGCCTCCAAGCTACTCCTGAGTTCTGAGCACCTCCCACACACACAGTGAGGTTAACAGATGCCCTCCCCTGACTGAGTCAGCACTGAAGAAGCTTGAAATAAGCCGTGTACCACGCTTTTCACATGGGGCATTCTAACAGAAAGAACACAGCCTTTATAGTGTCTTCGGGACACTTGTCTAAGTTACGTATTACCTATTTCGCAAACATACATGTGAACTGCATCAAGATGCAAAAGGTATTCCTTACTGTGAGTCAAGAACAAAACTGCTTGAAAATCATGCTCTGTATCTCCATCCTCCCCAGGTCCATACTTCTAATCATTACCAAGACTTGGAGAAAATCTTACAGCAGTCAAAATTCAAATGTCAGCAGAGACTGGGCTGATTAAAGAGTGAAGGATTGGTGAAAATTCCAGAGACCCCCACTGCTTATATCTCAATGTCCAGTTTATAAAGAGACATAAAGATAGGGAAAAAACAGAGGAGGAGGAATAATGCTCAATAGGAAATGTACTCATTACCTTACTCGTGTAACTGTAACCCCTCTGTACACTATTTCTAAATAAGAAGTATTTTTTAAAAAAAAGTTGAAGGGGCTGGGAAGGTGGCTTAGTGGTAGAGTGCTTGCCTTGCATGCATGAGGCCCTGGGTTCCTCAGCACCACATAAGCAGAAAAAGCTGGAAGTGGTGCTGTGGCTCAAGTGGTAGAGCACTAGCCTTGAGCTGAAGAGCTGAGGGACAG